GACTTCTCAGGAGTCCTTCAAGAGGCAACTTGACCTATTTTTAAGAACCAAGGACAGCATCACACTATGATTTACCAATTTCTTTTCCTCTTTTATTGTTAACATACCTAGGTTCCTGCCTGGAGGAATTGGTGATCCCCTGCTACTAGACACGGAAGCCTGTTAAGCGAAAGCTTCTTCTATTCCGTCCACAACCATTTGAACCATTTGAATTTCATAACGTCGCCCAGGTTCATTGGAATATTTATAGATTATGATGGATGTGTGAACACCACGGCTGCAATTAAACGCAACTCAATTTCGTAAATGTGCCTTTCAGCTTAGTAGCCAGTCAGAATGAGGCGGGAATTATTACATCCGCCATCGGTGTAAGCAATGGCGGTCGGCTTTCTTCGTTCTGTGCTTCTTTCAGCTATTTCTTTTGTGTAGCTATGTAATTTAATGTCTCAGTGTGCTAAAATGCCGCAGTTAGTGTAATGCTCTGAACGTTGAAGCAAAATTTTTCCTGATTTCGCTTTGTTTTCTGGGTTTTACCTGCTGCTACTGAAGTCACTGTATTTATTCAGCTAAGCTGGCTGGTACTAACGTAAGACCTTACGTTTTTAAACGACAATCGGTTATGTTTTACCTTGTTTTCTAGATATCCAAAGCCGAAGTTCGTTTTTATTTAGCTAAAATAATTGTTGCTGCCGCCTGTGACTCTAACTGTTCGCATGTACGTTCCTAACTGTCCTTTATGATGTTGTCGGCAAAATGAATGGAAACAATCTCCGGTTTTTATTTTTCTTCAGTATTGTGGACAACACTATCCCACCAATGAGTCAAACTAATACAGAGTGCCCAGCAGTACGGTATATCGGTATTGATTTCGAAAGGACCCAGACTTCCGACAACTATAGATGAAGTCACAGATGCTACCAATCTATCGCAGAGGGTTTGTTATTAAAAATATGCCATATAGCAGTAATAGAGAGGTTGTACTCATTACGCAGTGCGTTAAAGCAAGCTTAACATTGAAAATCCGGAAATCTGCTACCAGTGTGTAGTCTATGTTTGCTGTTTTGGCCATAAAAGGAAGCCGAAAGGTCATGATCAGGGAGTAAAAAGGTAATTAACTGTTATTAAGCTCACTTTTTATAGATCATATTTCACCACTCTCAAATTTGTGTATTTTTTACTGTATGATGTCAACTGGTACCTAATATGTTCACCCTTACGATGAAAAGTACCTGCAAATTTTCACCTTCATATTCGAATTATTTTCGGACAATTGTCTTACAGTCTGAGTGCTTCGTACGCCCCGAGGAACTCTATTTCTACAACATTCGTGGTTCCAGTATAACTTTCTCACGCAGTAAGTTCAAATTAGACACTAGTCTTTCTAAATAAACCTGTTAAGCTAATATCCGTATTCTCTATTTCAGTTAATCGATGACGACATGTATCACGTGCATCTGCTGTATACTATCATTTTACTCCAGTTCTAACTGTTATATCTTACTTTTGAATAATAAAATTGCTATGTGCAGCAAATACAGACTTATTTGTTTTGATGGAGGTAAGGGGGTTCATGGGATTTTCAGCAGGACTGTATTAATATTCTCACTATAGAGCTGTGCGAGTGTGTAAACCAGTGTAAGGTACCATACGGGGTGCATTTTAGTTACTAGCGTTCCATTGGTGCGGGTAGGGGCATTGCTTGTTTGTCAAATGGCATATGAATAAGAAGCTATAAGATAAGGCGCAGGTACGGTTAGGATGTGTAACGCGTGTCCATCCATCGGCTGCCGTGACAACCCATGGTGGTTAGAATAAGCTATGAGAGGACCCGAGTCTGTAGGTCTCCCAAGAAAGTGACGAAGATATGTACCAAATCACCTTATGAAGAGCCCATCCAATCACTCAACCTCTACTCATTTGAGTAGATACGTCTTAGAGGTGACCTAATGGCTTAAAATAACCTTAACACTTCTGGACATCCCCTAAAACACCTACTTAAGTTTATTCCCAGAAACTAGAGATACAACATAGCAGAACGGACTGTAGACGCAACTTCTACTCCTTAGGAGTTGTCAAATGCTGGAATCCGCTGCCCGCCGAGCTGGTCCAAACGACTTCCCACGAGTCCTTCAAGAGGCAACTGGATCTATTCTTAAGGATTAAGGATAGGATCATACTATGATTTACCGATTTCTTTTTCCTCTTTTATTGTTAACATACCTAGGTTTTTGTGACCCCCTGCTACTAGACACGGAAGCCTGTTAAGCGAAAGCTTCTTCTATTCCGTCCACAACCATTTGAACACATGAACTAGGTGCTGAGAGGCTCGCTTATCACCAGTTTCTTGCAACGATTAAGTAGATAAAACAAAGTAGTATTTGATTCCAAAATTTACTCAAGAACTTTCATGAAGAGTCAAATATCAAACAGAGGTTTAAACCAAGTTCCCGTTTAAAAGTTGCATTGGTAATGTTAAGCTGCAGTTTTTGTTGTTTTTTCCAAACGAAATAGTAAAAGAAGTCAAAAAATACTGAAAGTGGTTGTGAGACTAAAATGGACGTCCAGCATCCTTTTTATAATCTGCTGTTCGTTGGGTCTCCCGTAAACAGTTCCATAGGGCCATAGTTCTAAGGGCGAAACAGTTTTTAGGATCTGTGAAGACTCACTCCTGTTGCATTCTAAATGAAGAAAATTGATGAATTTAGTCAGAAATGTGGAATAGATAAATAACCAAATTATACGTTTTTTAGCAAATAATTTATGCAGTTGTGATTTACCTTGAGTTCATGAATATTAGATAAGTTCAGCTACTATTACTTGTGCAAAGCATAACATGGGCTTAGTACCGTATTGCAATGCTTTTATTATTTTGCTCCCATGCATCTGCGTCTAGTTTAACAGGAAAACATACAAGCAAAGTTAGTGTCTGATAAACTAAAAGTACCAGTTGTCGAAAAGATTCTTAACATTTGTCCACAGCCAGCTGCATTTAATTGAGACACAGAACACTCATCTTCTAAGACTGTATACTGCTGTTTTGCGAGCAACTAGAAGCTCAGACGCTTAGCTATCTTGCTGCCGATGTTATTGCTAGGGAAATTGTTTAATGACAGTGATCATGAAATATGGTCAGTGATAGATGTACAGTTTAGAAATAAACACCAAACATACTTATCGCTATCTTATAATGTATGACAGCAACAGCATAAAAGGCACGTTTTTTCCTATTTTTAATCAGAGTGATATGAATCGGTATGCTCATTAGGAACGGGCAGCTCTACTTACTAAACTGATCTGTTTCGTTACAGGCTTCAAGCACTATATTTAAGTATACCATAATGCTTTCAACTAAATTGAATTATACGACAACCAAGAATACTAAACTAAACAAGTGTCATAATTATTGTTTCATTTGCACAGACATGTTTCTTAAAGTAGTTAAATGGACATAATTCAGCCGATAAAACCAAAACACGAAATATAGGCCAGTTGAACTTACCTAACAGAAGACAAAAAATGTATATATTGCTTTCCGACTGAAGACAACAGTCAGTTGCTCATAGAAACATAATTCACAGTACAACAAAACTTTCTTCAGTAACATTATGCACCGACGGGCTATCTGGAAACAATCGACTATGTGATTACACTCACTACGACTTGGGATAAAATCCCAGCGTGCAGTGAAGGTACAGTGTAACGCAGTCAGACGTGACGAATAAAAATCAAAAACGGAGAAAAATTAACAACATAATCTAGTTATTCAATTAAAAATACATTATGAAATGACAAAATCTGTGGTTGCTTGAACGCACAGATGACCGTGTGCAATACATTAAGTTTACATGGTTGCGTTGCGGATAAATTCACCCGTCACATGAGTTAAATTCGATCTTCTCACATTTTCTTTATAACCGATCGATTAACTTATTTATCTATATTTTGAAGCAACCGCGTTATTTAAGCATTAGTGTTGTCGCTTTATTATTTTTCATGTAGAAATTAGCCAATTGCCTGATTGCTAGTGTGAAAGCTTCTGATGTACAGAAAACCCACTGACCTGAGACAGATAAATTCAGTCGAATTATAAAATATACACATTCAAAAAAAACTATCAAATTGACTGTAATTAATGAAGTCGATTGGATCGACTATCACCTATCGGACATAACCAAATACCTGGAAGCCTACTGAAACAACAGGAAGTGAGCCCAAAGAAATCAATCGCATATCTGTACCACGTTTGAAACCCCTATACCGTCGAACTCGGATTTTGATTATCATATTGTCCTTATTTAATGCCTATATTTTCCCTGAATTGTGTCAATCGCTTTGGCTATTAACATGCGCACATTCTGCAGCGTGGCGTCCAGTTGAGATTAACTATAAACACCGCTACCAAGAAACACGTGCCAAATGAAACAGAAGGCGAGGGTTGGACGTAACCAAATAGATCCATAAAATCCCCGAGAAGCCAAATATCAGAAGACAGTTAATGGACCAAGTCGAGGTTTATTAGCTGGCGATCTCGTGGCATCGAAAGGATACCGAGATCGTGCCAGGATACAACCTTGGTTACAGAAGGTAACCGAATTCGCTCGAAATTACAATCAAAGTGTAAGTGAAAGAATGGAAGCACAAAATAGCTGTCATTAGCACAGTCAAACAAAAGCACGTTAAAACAAACATTGGTACAGTTGGTTATAATAATAATTGTTTTTATTAAACCAGTCGTGTTCTCGTGATAAACGTGAGTCACTACAATTCTATGGGCTGATAGGTTATCAGCTCACTTTTTCTCTCCCAGATAATTTAACTAAATGCTCCAAACACTCATCCAACACACAAAGTACGTTATAACTAGACGCAAATTTACGAACTGTCGAGTATTATATATACAAACTGGTGACGATGATCTTGGATATTGAATGAGTAAAGATTTTTGTTTAACGATTTCATTTTCGTAAATATACATTTCAGCAAATTTATGAAGACCATAGATGTACTGTCTTTTCGGATTATTTTTTGTCCCTATAGTTTTGAGCTCTACAATTTCTATTTCATGGCAGAATCATCATTCACAAGCAGATATTGAACGCATAATCAAGAGAGTTATCGAGAAATGCCCCGATATTTCTTATGCTTACTATTTAACGACTGGTCGTATCACCACAACACCGAATTTAAACAGACTATTTGTGATAGCTTTCGGAAAGTATGCCAACACATCTGTGAAAGGTACCGTTTACATTTATGTCATCAATGACGTAGGTATACCGGAGTTCAAGTATATTGCCAACATGCATGGAGATGAAGTTGTTGGAAGAGAGCTGTTAATACGTTTGGCCGTCTACCTGTGTGATGAATTTACCTCACAAAACACATTCGTCCGCAAACTGCTTAACCGAACGAGAATCCATATTTTGCCCTCAATGAACCCGGACGGTTGGGAAATCGCCGCATCTAACGTAACAATGTTATTGAATTATATTTTTTTTAATGTAGAAAAAATTTCATGAATTAGGAAGATGCAATTCTAGAAAAGTGGATCTCAACAGGGACTTTCCTGACTTGACAAAAAAGTTTTATATCAATCTGCGTAATGGTGGACCTTTGGACCATTTACAACCTGATGAAATCGATGTGGAGAAGGTAAACTTAAATGATGTAAAAAATAAAATTCTTACGGGTTCAGAATTTCAAAAATATTTCAAAGGTCTTACATAAGGCTTTGTGCTGCGTAACAACATAACGACTGTATTAAATATTAACATAAGTCGAGCCGCGTGTTTCCACTCAGACAGTCAAATATAATATCCACCTTAAACACGCCAAATTATTGTATGATCTAGCCAAATGGTTTACTAGTATTACGCAATTTTTTGAAGATCGATTTAATCTCATGCAAAAAAGCTTCCGAATTTCCTATAAATGTTATTTCAGAAGGCACTGATACCAATTGTTGATGCTTACGCTTCCACCTGACGACTTATTGTAAACTTTCTTTGACTAATAGTTAATTCACATAATATACTCTATTTTCATCGTTGCTATAATTTAAGTTTAGAATTTTCTTGACATTGTTGTAAATATCCTAGTTTTTAGGTAACTGTACGAATCAGAACACTGGATTTAAATGTCTTCACCTCCATGTTGTTAGGGGAATCTATGAACTCGCAAGTATAACTAACCTTACCAGTATTTTCATTAAAGAACGGATGTTTAACTTAAACTTTCATCAATCATAGCCAGTGGTTCAGCGAAAGTCAATTTTTCGATGCACATTATTCATTTGAACGTTTGTCGCTTCCCCAAAAATGTTTAAATAATTAGCAAACTCGAGAAATTATCAAGTCCAGTACTTTTTTAGAATGTAATTGAAATTCACCAACTTTTATTTCATGAGCAGTAATGATATTTTAATCTTTTCCTAACCATTAAGTGGAACACATACTGTAATTTAAGATCTTACCATAAAAGCATGTTTACATTTGACAAATATAAATAGGTCTTCTAGTGAAATTTCTTATTTACAAATCACTAACTTTGTGGAATATTGTCAACGTCATTCATAATTTAATAAGATATCTGGCGACTTAGTTTGTTAGCTGACTACTATTTCCATGTTTATAAATCTGGCTACTAGGACGTTTGGCAATATTTACAATCATATAATAATTAGTCAACTTCATCGTATAAATAGTCAAATAACAAGGTATGCCACTTGAGTAATCTTATTTTGAAACGTGGATTAAGTTAAAAACCATTTACTATTGATTCTTTTTAATTAGGAAATTTTGTAGCTAGAATGTTCTACTAAAAGCGTTTGGGAATGAATAATAATCGCTGAACCAACAAATATAGAGTCAATACTTAAGTAATTGCATGTTATTAGAATTATAAAAATCTACTTATCGTTTGATCATTACAAAGCATATGATTCAAGCAGTTATATAAGTGTTTTAATCTACAATTTTAGAGTGCTAACTAGTCTTTAAGCAATAACTTAAATTTCTCTTGAAATATATTGTTAATTAAAGTTGATTTAAAGAACCTAATCTTGTTCTCTTTGACGATAATCGAAATAGACCATATATATTAAGGGTCTTGTAGCGAGGAATCCACTGGTTTGTTATATTAAACCGATTTTCACTGTTTGCAATCTCTTACCTTAAAACAACGAGAATGGACCCTTTTGTGTGAAACTGGATAATATATAGATACCATAAGATCCTACATATTATGTTAATTTTCAAGGTGGTCAGTAGTTTACACAAACGAAGAGACCTAATTTTCTGTGAAGGATTTAGCTGGTGCATACAGTGTTAATTGTTTTTCTGCAACTAATATCTTGTAGCAGGATCTGGTTTTAGATAACTTGGAATTAAACAACTGTTTTTATATCATCAATACTTAATGATATTCTGAAATTTTAGTAATGTAGATAATTTCAAAAGCCGTTTTTGATTATCAGTATGTTAATATTCAATGTATCATCTAACATAATGAATATTTGATTGAAATTTAAACGTGGTTCTTTAAAACATTTGAAGCAAAAAATGAATGTCTTGATCAATCTTTGACAACATATGTTAGAGAAATAATTTTCTTGTCCAAATTTTCTATGAATTTGGCAATAGAAAATTAACTACAGCGTCTATGAATTTTGTCAAAAATGAGTGTTGATGGGTGCAATTATTGAATTCTGCTGATTTAACATCATGAAAAAATAAATAATAAACCACTCCCATTTTTACTCACTGTTCTTCAAACCTGTTATTTTGCTCATATAAGTTCAGTACTTTGTTGATTTACCACTAATATTCAGGGAGCCGACCATGGGTGTTGATTTTAATATATCCAATAATTCAATTCATGAGTCAATTAAAGCTCTGTGATGGCCCGTTGACCTGACTCCATTTAGAGCGTACGAATGATTGTATGGATGTTTGCTATCGCTGATTCTCGTATATCATCGTTGACTTAAATCGCGTTATCCAATAACGGAATTAAATAAGTCGAATAACGAGAATTGACTTGAGAATACATATATTTCGTACATGAAGCGAATGAAGAGCATAGGAAAGCAAAAATGATACGTATGGAAGATGGCTGGGAAGCCAACTCCATCTTTGTCAAACGTTACTCAATATTTATAGTCAGACAAAATAAAGCTACAGACATGTGATTGATGGAATAAGAAGGGCACACACATATACGCTCATATAAAAACAGTCTAGATTGATAAGCGAACAAATAACAAGGTCAATGTATGGCTCAAGTAAAATGAATAGAATGGGATGTCCGAAAGCTCGAATAAGGTATATGGGCTTGGCATAATAACTGACACTACAGCTCTACCACCATGGAAAACTTGGAAGCGCTGGACGGCCGTTTCGTCCTATTGTGTTTGATTTAATTAGAAAACATTAGTTATAATAATTTGCTTGGGTAATTTTGTGGGATAACTTATTTCCAAAATATATTTTTGGAAAGCACAAACAAATGATTTTACATATGAGAAACTTAAAACTGCCTGTCTAAAGTTATAAACTGCTTGGCCGTAGTTTAACTTGTAAAATTGATGCTTTAAAATTTATTTGTGTAGAATATCTAACAAGATAGTCTATTTTATGTTTCCTAACATATGGAACACGTCAGCTAAGTGTATACTTACAATTACAGAAACTTAGACCCTGTTTTGACCTTCACTGCGAATCAATATTAAAATATATTCAGCATATAAATTCAAGCATCTTAAAGGCGGACGTACAATTAGCGCATTTTCAACACAAATCAGTCAATTCAATCATGGTTTCAAATTTTTAATGAGAACTAATCATACTAGACCTATAATTTTAAGCTCTAAGTATCATAAAGTTCAGAGAAGGGCACTGAAAATAGAGATCCACATCTACAAATTAGTTTGAGTCATTGATCTGTTATCTTAATCAACTGTTTTATACTAAACATTATGATTCTAAGTATCAACATAGTATGTGGGAGAAGTTAGGTGATCAGAAAACTGGCTTGTCAACTAATTTGAAATCATTGTGTATTTCAGATTGTTTTCCGATAAATGCGGAAAAAATTAGAATCTGTACTCATAAGTTTTAATTGTTATTCAGCTGATTAAACGTCTTCATAATCCCATAAACTTTCCTACGCTTACCTTAAAACTTAGTGTGACCTGTATTATTTCCGTCCAAAAATGTAGATTTTATATAGCATTTTGACTTAGAGAATTTAAGGACCGTCACTTGCTTTTATTTATAAATAATAACATATCTTTGTAAGAAAAGAATATTACAGTTGAACTAGGAACTGAGAACTGATGTCATCCTGGTTATTTTACGAAACATTTTTGTGTCCCTGTGCATTACTTTATTTTGTATAAATATACATTATTTAGAACTAATATAACCGAGAAACCAGATAACTATACAATACTGCTGAAAAAATAATTATGATATCAACTTCAAGATTTAATTCAGAATGTTCTCTAGCTCATTATTACAGTTATTAATCTTTATTTAATTTTTATAATATTCCTAATCAATATTCAAGCACCTGAATGCATTTTAAGTCTCATAATAAGAACATTATATTTCGTGGTTTTTCTCACCCTCCTTATGTTTGTAAAATAATTGTTATTATTACTAAATATATAAAAGATTATCATTATTAAAGGAATATACAATTAATGATTTCCAACTTAGAAACTTGTTTTTTGAACATAATTTCCCATTCAATATAAGGACAACAAGAGTTTATCAGTTCTTATTTGAACTATGTTGTATAAAGCCTACACTATTGGAAACCGTTGTATTTCAGAATTAGAGGCGTCTTTCTTCGACGTGTTTGTTTTTGTAAATGGAAATGTTCTTTAATTCATACTCGATTTAATTATTTATCTATTCAATCTTCACAACGCATGATACAAATATTAGGAACACTCAACAGTCGTTGTAACGCTCG